ACACTGACCAACAGGTCACATCCAACCCTGGTCGTCATACCTAAGAAGGGAAGGATGAGAAGAGTGATCAGAAACACTGAGAGAATTCCTTGAGACTGAGGTTTCTTTATGATCCGAAACTTAGTGATCCAAACGGAAAATATAGCCAAAAATACAGAAAAGAACGATTCAAGAGTAGGCGAGAAAGCTACGGTAAAGATGTTTGGAAACATCTCATTCGGGCTCAGGTCCAGAAACAGGAAGCTAGACACACTGTGGAATTGTGTCCAAAACAGAGGAAAGAGATTGGAGCAGCCAACTGAAGGAGAAATGAGAAGAAACACTGCAGTTTGTATTGCTCAGTTTGTTCTGAGGCCCTAGATTTTGAAAAAAGGCAATAGCTTGGAAAGAAGCAAGATACAATTAAGATTAAGAAAGAGAAATTGGATCACTAAAAGTTGGGCAAAACATTGCAACACTAAGAAATTAAAAGTACGCTCAATTTGTCAACAGCAGTGAAGGGAACATAGAAACACAATGTGTAAAGAGCATAGCAGACCCAATATGGGAGTGACTCCTCTTTATTTAATGCATATATTGACAATAAAGTATTTTCAAATGCTTTACTCTTCTCAGAAAACTGGAATTACGCTAAAAACCTGGTTATTAGTTTAAGAAGCTTTCTTCTAGTATGCAAGCAGGGCAGCAAGAATACAAAATGTTATGCATTTTGTTATACAAAATGCACATCACTGCTTCCTTTAAAAAGAAGGGTAAAGAAGCAGCACCTTACAACAGTTCAGATGAAGTACTCAAATAAATAAATTTATCAATATAATTATATAATTACAGTATTCACTGTGAAGACAATAGCTAATGAAAAGATTCTCACTTTTGTAAGGAAAACCATGAGGAGCTGAATAATTTAATCACATCTTTTGTTAGAAATAGACAGGTCTTGATACTATGAAGCACCATTTCAGTCCTAGAAATCCAAGATACAGGTCACTGCTCCTTGGTGGCTTATGAATACCATTCAATCTCCCATGGGATAGAAGACATAATTATAGGACATTCTGCATCAAGATACTTTCTTTAATGGTCAAAGTAGTAACTTCGTCCAATCTGGTTAAAGCATTAGTTATAATTAAAGTGGTTTATGAAAAGTAGAATAAAATTTAAAAACAGATCAGATGAATCAAGCAACAGAAAGCGATGCAGTTAATAAAGCTAGTCTTTTCTGTGTGTAAAAAGTTTTCTAAAATAATGTAATTCTTAAATGATCATCGCTGTAATATTGCATCTAGGAAGTCTATGTAAATTTGATTCAAGACATGCAAACATGACTGTGGAAATGAAGCAAGTTAGCAGGATAGAGGGGAAAAAAGATGTCTAGAGAGAAATTAAAGCTTTTAAAATATTTTTGTTTGGAGGTTTGTTTCTTGTTTTTTTGTGTTTTGCTTTTTGTTTTTCTTTTTTATTTTTCTTCTTTTAAAGCACAAACTGAGTAGAACTTTGCAAAAATACCCTTGACATGCAAATCAAAATTTCATTCTAAGGTTTTCTTTTTGTGGCATCAGTACAGCACCAATACCTATTTCTGTATGCAAAAATTCTGATATACTCTATCTGGGACATGAAATTGTTTAAACTGGTCAATAAAGACTAGTGATGATGCCATACCAAAGAACTACCATGTAAATTTACATTCCTGATTCACACTGTTTTGTTAACATGTATGGCCAGGTCCCTTCTATCTCATCTCAGTAATCCCATGTCCTGCTTTTTTGTTAAAATTGAATTGTTGCAGTACTATGGAAATACTATGGCACACAAATTCTAATAACAAAGATTTTTTTTCCTTGATTTTTGCAGACAAGAAAATTCAGGATTACTGCTCCAAGTGAAAAAAGAAAAAAATCATGGAATTGTATTCTCAATAAAGGTCTCCTCTGCAGCTGTAGTTTAGAAAACTTGAAAATTCTGTCAGGCCATACACATCTCAATGACAATTTTTAAAAAATATTGAAAAACTAAATGACAGAAAACATGGATGAAGCAGTTGGTATCCTTTAGACATTGCCAGCTGTTATTGCAGCACCGAAACTTTACTTTGTACCTTTAAAGTTGGTGCTTACATACAGACTTCAAGTGTTATCTCACCTTAATCCACACCAAGGGAATCTGTGAATCTTATTTACTCTTGCCTTCTCATTGGTGGAATGTAATAGGGGGAAGGCATATTTACCCCACTTATGCTACTAAGTATTTCTCAGGAAAGACTTCTTTTTCCTTAAGTTGGAAATCCTTAAGATTCTATTCCTGTTGAATTCACATTTCATCCTAAGAAACTAGTACACTCAATGACATAAGCTCTGTGTCAGGAGGAACAGTCACTTTCTTTCATAGCAGAAAAAGCTATGCCTTTTAAGCTATGAAAGAGAAATTGCCACAAAATATTTATTACAAGAAAAACATGTCCACAGTACCAACAATCATTGGAGTACTTTTCAATATTATACCTTTATAAAAGACACTTCAGCCCAACTCTATATTTTGTAGAAAGTCTACAGTGATGCACAAATTCCAAATGGGAGCAGGACTTCTATTCTACATGATAAACACGAGTCACAAAATTGCAATAATCCATTGGATTAATTGTGTATTCTAGTAGACCATCACTAAGGGCTCTCATGTTAAAAGGTCAACAGGGCTGTCAACTACACCATGCTGACTTTTTCTGATAATGTGTTGCATATTTATATAATGGAAATAATTTTTGCATTTGGTGAACCATGTGAAAATATTATTGAGTTGAATCATGCTCACTGGAAACTACATTCTTGTGGTTTCTTGTCTAGATACTGCTGGGATCCTTGTCAGTTGCAGACACCTCAAGATTTGAATGACAGTATCTACCTCTTGCTGATAATAATAGCCATTCTTCTGTCACATCTTCATTTTTTATTAGCAGTAGTTCCTGAAACTCTTAGAATTGCTGATTCAGCAGATACAAATTTCCCAAAGGTACAAATGAACTTTACACTTAGAGCAGAAGAATTGCTATTAAATCACAGGGCATTTGATTTCCACATTAACATTATGAATTAGCATGGAATAAACGATATTACTAGCTAGAGACTAAATAGTTTCTAAATAGTTGTATAGCCTCTAAATACAGATCTGGATGTTTGGATCAAGTATTACCAGGATGCAGATATAACCCACATCCTGTGCCATGCAACACAAATGAACAGCATCCATGACAGTGAAGGTCTTAGTGCAGCAAAACACAAATTTAGAGACTGTTCTTGTACATAATGCTAACTATGTGCTTAACTGTTATCTGGATCAGGGCCTATCTTTATGAAGGGAATAAGTTAATATGAAGCCTGCACCAGCTTTTACCCTCAGGAGAATAAATCTGAACATCTGAAGACCTTGAAAAGGTATTTGTGTGATAAGTGCTTGAAGAATAAAATCCTGCTTCCTGCAATGTCAAGATAGTATTTCTTGTATGCATTTATTGGGTGACTCCTCTTTGGGTACCTGCTGTAGGAGTTGAATATGAATCATTTTTATTCAGCATTAAAAATCTTTCAAAGTACTGTCAATTTCACCTTATATACTTTAAGAAAAACCTTGCAAATACATCTAGTTCCATATGTGCCTCTGAAGACCTTTTATTAAGTTAAGGTAACAGCAAAGGAATAATTACAGTGGCATGTTTCCAATAAAAGAAGAATCTGGAGTGCAGTGGCAGAAAGCATTGGCTATACATGGTCATGCAGTGATTGATGCCAAGACTAAAGAAGCACCAAACATGAAATGAAGTGATTGAGAATATGTTTCCTCTGCATGTGTAAAATAAAAATGTTTCTGTACAGATCTGCTTTGGCCTGAATAAAAGGGAAAGAAAGGTGCCAGTCAGAGCTATGCAAAAAACTATTTTGCACAATGAATGTAACATCTTTTTCACACAATCTGAGGAAAACCCCCTTTTTTTTTTTTTTGCAAAAAACCCCATGAAACAAACCTCCCAGCACCTGTCACTGTTTTGTGTTAAATGCTCACATACAAGTAATAGATCTTTCTTTTCTAGAATTGTACATTCACTTACTTGGACTCCATAAGCAATATAAAGGGAAAAAACAAGTGTTTACCATAATTCCATTTCTAAGAATGCAGCATTGTTCTCATTCCTCAAAAAATAAAAAATGTTCTTAATGTCCCTCCAGCTAGTTAGATTATTGGTCTCCCAGCTCGCAAAAATAGTTATGAAGAGACAGAATTCAAACACATAACAATGTTCATAAGTGAGCAAAAAGCCTCATCTTTTGTTCATGCTGGAAAAGATGCATACAGATTTGTGACTCATATATGTTAACTGACTTAATCTAACCAGGAAAACAAAAAAAATGGACAAATCAATATGCTTTAATTTGCTACAATGCAGTCTTATGATTCCATCTGCATAGCACATGGTCTTCAACTGGAAACAAGACAACCCCCACAGTTCTTATTAACCCTCCCTTCACTTCTAGTTAAGGTAGATTAAGGGGCATAAAACTGTATTAATAGGCTCTGTCTCACAAAAACAGAGGCTAAGATAAAATAGCTCTAATTTGTATATTTCTGTGAAAACATCTGTGAAAACATCTGTGCACATATAATTATTGTCTGATTCATCATTAAGTTTATTGATTGAAAGCACAGCCAACTTTTTCTGTTTGCAAACTCTTATTATTTTTACCTAAAAAAAAATCTCTGAACATTAACTGACATTTTAGCAAAACAAAATAAAAAATCATTAAAAGCAAACTACAAAATAAACTTCAAAAGAAATAGAAAAGTATTTTTTGTGATGCATTCTTCTGTTTTTGATATTTACTCTTATTATAACCAGTTACTCACAATAAGCTGCTGAAATTCCCTTCTATTTTTTCTTTTATTATGCATGAACTGCAAAAATGAAATACAAGTATATACTGTACCTTGTTTTACCTGTAAGGAACACACACCTGACAAAAGGCAATCTTCACATCCAGAGTAGGTTCACCACAATAATACAAGAAATGGCGGCTCATAAATACCTGCAATTAAAGAAAAGTAGACATAGAAATCTTGTATGTCTGCTGATGTGCAAGTACAGTGCAGCTCTATCCACAGTTGGATTATGAAACTAACCCAAGTTGCTACCCAGCTTGTGAACAACAGAAATCAGCTACAACATTGACCCATAAATAGGCTCTAAATTCATTCTGATGGTCATCAAGGTTATGGCCTCAAATATGATCTGGTTAAATCTGCAAAATTTTACAGTAACCGATGCCATTACCTCTAAGTTTATTAGGTCACTTGTATATTCCTACATCAACAAAAATAAAATTCAGGTCAATAATGTTCTAAACAATGTGGGAATGGGAGACAGTTATTATTACGGGGAGGAAAGAAACAAGTCCTAAGTTACAATTATTAGGAAAGTTATAGGAATTGAAAGACTAATTACATCGCTGTATAAATCTGTGACACAACTACTTTATGAATATTACATGTAGTTCTGGTTCTCATTGTAACATCTTACAACTAGAAGTTACAGAAAAGGACATTAAGAAATGTCCAAAGCATATTCAGATTCCTTACATGAAACAACTGCACAGACAGATTGGTTTTTTTTTTAGCCTAGAAAAGAGCTGTTTGAGTGGAGATATGCTGGAGATCCATAAAATGAGCAGCATCCTGAAAAGTAAAAAGGAAAATGTTCTCCGCTATTGCTGGGTTTTTGGCTTTGTGGTTTGTTTTTTTGTTTGTTTGGTTTTTGGGTTTTTGTGTTTTTTGGGGTTTTTTTTAATTAAAAGTAGTATGTGGCAACAAACTAAGTTATTGAACAACAGATTCAGAATCAGCAGTAGGAAAGAATTCTTCATACGCTGTTTCACTACACTGTGCCTTGCATTCCTGTGGATGTCAGAAGTCAATGCAAGTCCCATATACTATATGACTCAGCAAACTCACATAAGGAGGAACCTGCTGAAGGCTATTAACCTCAAAAATATCACCTCTGACTCAAGACAACTCTGAGTCACAGTCTGCCCCTATATGCTTACCCTGTTTTTAAGATTCTTTCACAGACATCTGATACTGGCCAAGGGAGCCATACACTAGACTAGACAGGCCTCCCTGCGTACGCTAATACAGCTGTTTTAAATTAATTCCATAGCACCACATTCAGCTCTGACTAACCAGTCCTTTCCTAACTGCAGTCTAGTATGGGACATCCACAAAAAAAACCCATAGTAATGCTATCAGGCTGAAACATGACTTTGGAGCACAATGATTTTTCTGTAGGACTGAAAAAAAAAGCCCTAAAGCAAACAAAACAAACAAACAAACATGAAAAGTTTTAACAGTACAATTAAAAACCAGCAACTTTTATGTAAAAAGAGAAAAATAATATAGAACAATTTTAGAACATACATGGTTTTATTTTAAATATAAGCTCATTGTAAGGACTTATAAAACAAAAAATGCAACCATCACTCCATTAAGATTTGGCCATGATCCTGAAACACCATGTGTGTCATTACAGCACTTTGCTTCAATAGGAACAATTAACTAACTTCAGGTGTAAATACAAGTAAGACAAGACTTAATTTGGAGTAACCTCATCTCACACAAACTCATAGTGACTTAAGAAACTCTAAGGAAGTATTCACCAATACTTGTATCATGTGTTCCCACATATGTTTAATTTTTAATGAATGAATGAATAATCCTGTTATGAAAGCAAGTGTATGACCTTTTCTGCATCATATTACATTGTCTGATACTGCTGCCTCATTGCCCAGTGAGTCATTACCAGAGCCTCACATTCCACAGAGAGTTTATATTAAAACAAGAGGGAGAAAGGAAGATATAAGAAAAGCTTTTAACATTAGTCATATTGCCAGTGTTTTCTGGAAAGCCAGCAGATAATTATACTCTCACACTGCTGATATATATACTGTGAAATCCTACTGGTTGGACACATTACATTACTATAATAATGAATAACTGAAGTGTCATTAGTTATAACATGCCACATTCAAGACAGAGTCTACTAGTGGAAGGTGAAGAAAGGAATGGAATTGGGGAAATTTGGTTCCTCACTGAATGTGCTGTGAGGACCTGAGAAGACACTTTGTATTGTTTATGTATTACTAGTCATATACGGTTCCTCAGCTTTCCACAGGAGTGACTGTAACTGTTAATAGTCACCCTGGGACAGAGCAGTAGACTGGTGAATTTTACGAACTGGAACACATTTTTCAATTTATTATGTTGTCCTAGTATGCAGTTACTGCTTATAAAATAATAGAAGTATGATATGTTTTAATAACCCAGATCAATATGTATATTCCTCTGTGCATGAGATATATCAAATGAATCACTAGAGAGATGAGATCCTCCAATTGTACACCAGGAATTAGAATGTATTTCTGTAGCATAGAGGTCTGTGTATACCCAGAATGTGCATACCTAGGGTAAAACAGATTTGAGTTCATGTTTTACACAGTGCATGTCTCCATATATTGAAATCATAAAAAATTCCGTTTGGTGCCCTGTAAGTAAACACACATGTATGAAACTTCTAATTTCTTCACACAGAAAACACATTCATGTTCAACTGTATAAATACCCTTGATCATATCTCCTCTGGTGCTAGCTGACACCGTGTCAGTAAAGACACTGAAAATGCTGGTGTAAAGTGCATAAAGAACTGGCTTGATGCTGAGATAATTGGGTCACAACATAAAGCAGTTATAAAACCAAGAAGCTACTGACAAACAGCCTCATTCACTAGGGAACTGAGTGTTAGGTGAGAGCATAAGTATTTAGTATTTCTTTACTTCTGATGCTTTATCTTTTCAACCTTGAGCAAAATCACTCAGGGTGGGAAGAACTGGGAGAATGGAACAAGAAAACATCTTGTAATAACCCAAGGTGGCATCCAGCTGGGAAGCCAGAGATTGCAGTAGCATCACAGGGAGAAAACCTGTCAATGAAACACCAATGCCACTACTGAATCTCAAGTTTTCATCACAATCAAGGCATCTGTATGCCAAAACCTGTAAAAACATACAAGTCTCAGCAGCAAATACATGATCTCCTTGCAGGCAAGATACTAGGAGACAGTGAAATAGGAGAAAGTAGACATGAAGGCAGGAATAAGAAAATCCTGAAAATCCTCTGAGCTTCCAGTGGAAACACCCAAACTGAACTGCTGCCAGGGACTGTGAAGATACGACTGGGTCTTAGCCTCTACCTGGCCTGATGCTTTCCCATCCTCTTCTTCACTCCATTACTCCTCCTTATCAACATCTACTCTTCCAAAGAGAACATAGGCTAATGATACGACAATTTCAAGCACGAACTTCCTCTTCCCCTCAGTGCTGCTATGAGAACTGCCTTTTCTGGAGAAGAATGGTTTATTTTTAATAATGTTTATCTTTCTCTCCAGGGATCAGCAGGATTATCTCATTATTAGCCAAACAGCTCTTTGAAGATTGAAAGGATTAAATCAATTCTATAATTACTGAGAGCAGAGAGGAAGCCGTGCAATGACAATAGGCTGGAAAACCAGTAGTAACTGTAGTTCTCAAATATAGCCTCCTGCAGTAAAACTTTCTGCTCTTCCTGGAACTCTTTCCTCACCCTCAAAGCTATAGCCAGTGAATGTCTGAGCAATTTGGCAACCAGTCTTTTAGCCTGGGGTGCCATGTTTTCCTTCCTAGGCTGCACTACTGTTCACTTAATTGGCTTCTGGACCATGAGTCGAGAGCCTGTGTTTGCCTTAGGCCCACTACATGCAAACTTTGAGCCTAAGGGGTCTGAACTGCTGCTGTACTTGTATGAGGAGAGCCTCAGCGCTTGCACTCACCATGTTGCCTCTAAGCTGCTTCTCTGGCTGACACTTAAGCTTTCTTGTCTGGAGAAAGCATCACAGTCACTTCCTTTTCAGAAAATACCTCCATGATGGTTTCTTATCCCCATATCTCCTAACCAACAAACAAATCCTTCATGCCCAGTAGATATTGCCTTGGCCTGTCAAAGCATATTTAAAGCTTTTTTTGTGACAATTTGGAAGACAAAAATGGAGCCTTAGGAAAGTTCCATATAACTTTGAATTAAGAGATGCAAAGGAGCCAGCTACCCTGCTGCTATACTACTTTCTTCATCAGAGCATAGACAGGCAGGACTCTTCACCTCACCCCACAGCAAAATCACCTATGCCAAATACACTGATTCAGGGTTGAAGCAAGGTTCTTGATGAGAAAAGCTACAGTAGCTGTTAGACATGTATTTAAACCAGTGTTGTTGCTATTGAAACGAATCAAGTCCCAGACTAGCTGCGGTGCTGTTCTCCCACACTCCTGCAGCTGTACTCTATCTGAGGGTTGTTTATATGTCCTATAACAAAATGAATTGGAAACAAATCCTTCAAATCCTAACGTAAAAAAAAAAAAAATCTGTGAAAAAACCATATAAAAAAAGTACAAGTTCCAATTTAAACAGAAATCAAACAGCAGCTGAAGGTGTTGTAGGCAGAGCTGCTTTTATCTAAAATATCACTGAACTGGCAAGGTGTGACTGCACACTGGAAGGATTTAACGGAATCACAGGACATCCTCCAGTAACATGCTATTATCTATTCCAAGGCCCACCAACTGTGATAATCTCAATAATAAGGGGAAACTATACATGTTCGTATTAAGAGCCAAATCCAGCACTTCTGCTTATTTGATTATTACCATCTGAATACATCACATGTGCACAATGGGTACAGTGCATGTGTTCCCTATCTTCACAGGGCAGATAGGCAGATAGTTCTACATTTGTGCTACAAATGGCTAATTAAAGTATTTATTGCTGCATTATTCTATTTCATTCATGAACAGAAGGGTTCAAAGCATGTAAAAATTAATGAAATAGGACAATCATTTAAAGTTTTAAAAAAATTATCTTGCCCCACTTCAGTGAGAGGGGGTGATATATCAATTTAACTGTCACTTAAAAACCTTCTTGGAAAAACACTAATGTTCAAAGA